ATTTGATACTGTCTTACCCCCACCAAAAGATCTGCTTGGAGATTAGTGGAATGACTTGTTTGATTACAGTTACCTTTCAAACCTTGATCAACTCTAGATAATTCTAAGAATCAATATTACTAGAGGAAAAGTTGTGATCATTGGAACAATGTACAATGATAATGATACAAAAATGTAGCTTTTACCATTCTGCTATGCCAGTATAAAAATCTAGATGATTATTCAGTAACACCATAGCATTATGATGAAGATACTGAATGTGATCTGTTTTAATTATTATTGCAACAACACAATTCAAGAAACCAAATTGGTGAGTATTGTGAACACGCACATTACACATTACAGAACACATTTCACATTTCACATTTCAAAACAAAGTCTGCATAACCCTTGATAAATAATGCAGTATAAAAATACATGTAAAAGAACTTATTTTATCCCTTTTGACTTCAAGATTTTGAGCAGATAACAACCAAGGCAGAGTACACACCACTGGAGGGACAGCAAGTTATCTTGGAGAGAGTCCCCGTCCCAGATGGCATCATCGTAACAGACCTGCCAGACACTGTGTCCAGAGACCTGCTGGAGTTGTACTTTGACAGTGAGACAAGGAGCGGTGGAGGACCTATCTCAGACATCAAGATGGACTCCTCCACTGGAACTGCTGTTGTCCAGTTTGATGATGCAAACAGTATGCAATCTTTTGTTTCTTTTTTTCTATATCTATCTATTACTCCTCCTCACCTCACCGGTCCCATAGCAGTCTGTCCTGCCGTCGGGGCAACTAAACTGTCCACAAGACTAATGATCCACCCAGGGCGGTTCTCAGCCAGACTTGTCAGGTGACTCAGGGGATGTCCTGTCCATTCCTTCAGGTCACTAATCCAGGTCCTTCGAGGGCGCCCCCTCAGTCGTCCACCCTCCGCCTTCCCTTGCAGTGTAGTGTGAGCTAGGGTGCCCTTTGCTCTGGTTACGTGACCGAACCACTGCAGCTTCCTCTTCTTTACCAGTGACAGGAAACTGGGGAGAGGGCCTGCCAGTGACTTGACTCGCTGCTTAACTTCTTCGTTTGTAGTGTGTGAAGTCACCAGTGGGTCTGAAGTAATCTCCGGTAGCAGTTACTATCTATTACTAGTGAATGTAATACAGTAGTCACTGAATGTTAGACAAAGTCAATGACTGTAAATATCTACTGTAAGTCATTAAAACTCTGTAGTACACAAATCAGTGGCTAACCAATGGCTTGTAGATATTTAGATGTACGTGTAACAGATATAGGATTTAATCTTTTCACCAATGATAGTAACATTACATGTTGGCTGTGGTTTATGTATTCAGACAATATTTCCCAAATCCAAGCTGTTCCGTTTGAAAACTTTAATGATATCTGTTTGTTTTCACCTTGTTTCCCAAGAATTACCTAGGGATAACTAAGTCCTTAGTAACTTACTACCTTATTTTGCTTTTCTTACAGCTGTAAACAGGGTTCATCAGACATCCCCACACATTCTACACAACACACCAGTAAGTGTCAAACCTTACTACGAAGGCCTTGTTGAAGTGGTGGATGACGATGCTCCAGGAGCATTCAAAATGCCTCAACCCATCAGCATAAAGATCAGGCCTAAGTTGATTCCGTTTGCCTTTACCATGCCAAAGTATGTGGAGCAGCTGACAAAGAAGTTAGCAGAAGTTAATGCAGAAGTAGATATGACAGTCACAGATGAAGTAAAAATCTCACCGACACTGACTCCCGAGATGAAAGGTATTCGGAAGTTAGCGAAGCACTGGGAAGACCAGAGTCAAAATTGTGTGGAAAAGGTTTTCACACAGTTTCGGGCAACAAAGATCCCTGTGGCAACTCAAATCTGGCGACGCACCAAGGACAGATTTGAAAAAGCGTTTGAAAAGGTGAGTAACTTTCCGTCAAAGGGGGATGATATTTGGGTCCTGTGTTTTGATGATGACGATTTAGGAGGAGGAGTGGTTACTCTGATTGGAACAACAGAAGCTGTCTCCAGGGCAAAGCTCGTCTGCAACACTTTCATCAGAGAGACAGAGAATCTACTGGACTGGGAAGCCTCCAACAACATCACCATCCAAGTGTCAGGATTCCTGTCAAGGCAGTGCCCAAATGAAGAAATGCTGAGGCTGTACTTTGAGAACAAGAAAAGGTCTGGGGGAGGAGACATCCAGGAGATCCAAGTCAGAGACAAGAAAGTCTTTATTGTCTTCAAGAATCCTACAGGTAGGAAACTGTTATTTTTAATATAATTATATAGGTCTGGCTTAAGATAATAGCTGTAATGCAACATTGGAATGATGAGCAGTATGCTTGAACTTTAGAATAGATTATAGCTCCAATGTCATACCAAATTGTAACTCTAATTTCTGTTATGATCTAAGGGTAATATGGTATGTTTCCTACACTTTGTCCACAATTATCTTCTTTTGATGTGTTCATAGTTGCTTGGCATGTTCTGCGTCGAGACCATCGCCTTGAGGGAACCACTCTCAAACTGAATGAGGTTCAGCACCCCAGAGCACTGGACAACACTCATCTTCTGGTCAAGGTACCGTAACACTGGTTTTTATCTTGTTGCTCTGCATTATTAAATTTGTCGCATTATGGACTGTACTAGTATCCCTTGTTTGATTATACATGTACATGTACTGCTGTGGGGGTGCCCACAGACACAAATCAATGGCAGTCAATTGTTTCCTGAGGTAGCCTGGTATCCAGCTACTAGTGTATCGTAGTTGGGGCAATCTTCGGGACTCTTAGACACCTGTGATAGAGTTTCGCCTATCATAGGCTTTATAAATTTAACTCCCGTTATGCAAAACCTACCAGGGATCCTAGCTGAGTCCGACTGGGAACAGCCCCAAAGAGAACCCGTGTCAACTGTGATAGACTGGATACCAGGCTATTCCTGAGGTGGCTCTGTCCAGTGGGTCCACACTTGACACATGCTTAGATGATCCAAGGTTTTCTTCAATGGTCTACTACGACTTGTCTGGTCATAAAAACAGGGTGCGGCACAAAGTTTGTCTCAAAATGGAACAAATAATTAAAAGAGTTGATGATGATTATTTAATTTTCTTTCTGTGCACCTAACAGGGACTCAAGGAAAGCACAACCAAAGAGATTCTTAGCCTTTACCTGGAAAACATCAGCGATGATGAAGTGATGACAGTAGACTACAGCACACAGCCTGGAGTTGCCCTGGTCACCCTCAACAAGATTTCTTGTAAGTGTTTCTACGTTTATATGTCAGTGTACTTTATGTCCTCTTCAATATTGACCATAGTTTATTCCTTATTTCCATCACATCAGCTCTACGGCATCTACTATCAAATGGCTAGTTTGATCACAGTTAGCAAATTTAAGTAAAGACTTTAGCTTTAATCCTTATACTAAAGTACAGCTAATCATCATTGGCACAAACATAGTAATTGATATCACGAGTTTTATGATTCTGATATGTCACATTGTACACAATTTCAAAAACAACACAATATGGCAGAGATCAGTTGTGATCTGACTCAATTTGTACTGCAGCAAAACAGCACACATGGACCACAGGCAGCAAATTGCGGGACAGGTATTGTGCACCACACCTTGTGTAATTACAGAACACATTTCGCAATGATTATTTCATTAAACAAAGTCTGTACAACACTTGATGCAGAATACATAATTTTTCATTTAAAAAAATGTAAAAAAAATAATTCAACCATTTCAACTTTAAGACTTTGAGATGATGGCAGCCAAGGCACAGTTCAGGCCACTGGAGGGACAGCACCTTACCTTGGAGAGAGTCCCCGTCCCAGATGGCATCATCGTAACAGACCTGCCAGACACTGTGTCCAGAGATCTGCTGGAGTTGTACTTTGACAGTGAGACAAGGAGTGGTGGAGGACCTATCTCAGACATCAAGATGGACTCCTCCACTGGAACTGCTGTTGTCCAGTTTGACGATGCAAACAGTATGCTTAATTTTGTTCAGTTCTTTTTTCTATATCCTGCTTTAAATTTTAGTAAGCAAAAGCCAATGGATGTTTGACAAAATAAAGAATAAACTGCAAAGCTCATCAGTATGTGGTACACAAAATCAGTGAATAGCTCAAACTACCAAAGTCTAAATTACACTCAATAACAGATGTTATTGAGGAAATGCAGTATTGATAGAATATGATCATGATAAAAGTTACAACTGTCAAGTTAAGATACACTTCTAACAGATTTAGGATTTCATCTTAAGATTAAAGAAGGGCTGTGGTTAGGTTTATGTATTAGACACATAGCTTTACCAAATCCAAAGTGTTTCATTTGAAATGATATCATTTTGTTTGCTCGTTGTTCCCCAATCAATGATTTGCTAGGGATTACTATTAAGCATTTAGTGTTGTTGAAGCACACAGACTCACCCACTGTCTCTGCCTTCTTACAGCTGTGAACAGGGTCCACCAGAAGTTCCCACACATTCTACACAACACACCAGTAAGTGTCAAACCTTACTATGAATGCCTTGTTGAAGTGGTGGATGACGATGTTCCAGGAGCATTCAACATGCCTCAACCCATCAACATAAAGATCAGGCCTGAGTTGATTCCGTTTACCTTTGCCATGCCAAAGTATGTGGAGCAGCTGACAAAGAAGTTAGCAGAAGTTAATGCAGAAGTAGATATGACAGTGACAGATGTAGTAGCAATCTCACCGACACTGACGCCCACCATGAAAGGTATTCGGAAGCTAGCAAGGTACTGGGAAGACAAGAGTCGAAGTCATGTGGAACAGTTTTTCACACAGTTTCAGATAATGAAGGTCCCTGTGGCGATTCTCATATGGCGACGCGCTAAGGACAGATTTGAAAAAGTGTCGGAAAATATTGGTGATGATATTTGGGTCCAGTGTTCTGATGATGACTATTCAGGGGGAGGAGTAGTTACTCTCATCGGAACAACAGAAGCTGTCTCCAGGGCAAAGCTTGTCTGCGACACTTTCATCAGAGAGACACAGAATCTGCTGGACTGGGAAGCCTCCAACAACATCACCATCCAAGTTTCAGGCTTCATGTCCTCCCCAAACGAGGAAATGTTGAGGCTGTACTTTGAGGACAAGAAAAGGTCTGGAGGAGGAGACATCCAGAATATGGAAGTCAGTGACAAGACAATCTTCATTGTCTTCAAGGATCCCACAGGTAGGAAACTGTTATCTTCTCACACATGAATAAAACTGAGCTTTTAGAAGTGTTTGAGAAGACGAAGAAAGTGGTCACTGTGTATTAACATCCTTCCAGCTCACAACTTTTAAGGCAAATCTTCCATAGTTCTGGCTTAAGATAAGGCTGGCATGCATTTAAGTATCCTAACTGTTATCCTGACCTAAATGCTTGAACCCAAAAAAGCGTATGGCTTCAATGACATACATGTACTTACTTATCCTCTTCATCCCTTGCGAGACATAAGACTGATACTTTTCCTTTCCGTTTGGGTCTGTCCTTGGCCACCCTCTTCACTGATCGCCAGGACAGTCCCATAGACAATAGGTCATCTGACACTGTTCTTCTCCAGTTAGGTCTGCTTCTATTTCTTTTCCCAGTGTCATACCAAAGGTCTAATTTGTGTTATAAACTAAAAAGAATGGCATTACACATTCCTTACACATCTTTTGATTTGATGTGTTCACAGTTGCTTGGCAGGTTCTGCGTCGAGACCATCGTCTTAACGAAACCATTCTCAAACTGAAGGAGATTTGGCCAGACTTCACTCATCTTCTAGTCAAGGTACAGCTGCAGTGATTTTTGTCTTGTTGCTTTGCACTTGTCAATTTATTGCATTAGTACATACCAATTTAATTTGTTGGTTCTTGGATTTGCCTCTTCATTTTTTTCCGATTTGCACAAAAATCGCCCCAGCCACTTCCTTGGTCTACCACAACCTACATGTATATGTAGGTTGTGGCACATACGTTTCAAAATAAAATGAAATGGCGTATTTATGGCTGATGATTACCTTTTTTTCTGTGCACATAATACAGGGATTCAGGGAAGGCACAAGTGAAGAGGCCCTCCAACTTTACCTGGAACATGTTGGCATTGATGAAGTAATCACAGTAGAGTACGGTACACAGCCTGGAGTTGCCCTGGTCACATGCAACAACATTTCCAGTAAGTTTGCACGCTTGTTTGATTTGATTTGATTTGATTTATTGAAATTGCAACAGTGCAATACACGCAGGGCAGAGGCAGCTGTTGCTGGTGTTGTGTCCCACACATAGAAACGAATACTGGACAGACAATACTCATTTTAACTTGAGTCTAGTGGGGTGTGCCTTTCCCAAGGGCACAAGATTGGTGGCATGTCAGGACTCGAACCCGGGACCTCTTGATTCCAAGTCGCGCACGCTGCCGTTGTGCCATACGACCCCACGATGTTGTTTGCTAATGTGTAACAGCACACATTCTTTTATTTCTTCCAACTTGATAAAGTTTGATCACAGTTAGAGAAACCAGTCAGCTCTGGGTAATTCTTTACACTACATGTAAAGATTTAAAAGAACAAGTTGTTACGACTTAGTTGTCATTGGAGCATAAAGGGCACCCCACATGACACATCACAGAACACATTTTGCATTTCAAATCAAAATCCATTATTGTTACTGTAGTAAAAGCAATTATGTAAAAGAATTTCATCCATGTCATCTTCAAGACTTTGAGGGGATGGTAGCCAAGGCACAGTTCAGGCCATTGGAGGGACAGCAAGTTATCTTGGAGAGAGTCCCCGTCCCAGATGGCATCATCGTAACAGACCTGCCAGACACTGTGTCCAGAGACCTGCTGGAGTTGTACTTTGACAGTGAGACAAGGAGCGGTGGAGGACCTATCTCAGACATCAAGATGGACTCCTCCACTGGAACTGCTGTTGTCCAGTTTGATGCTACAAAAAGTATGCAAACTTTTCTTTCTCCTTTTTTTTTTGCTTTAACATGCATTAGTAAGTATAGCCAGTTAGATGCTAGATGAAGTCCATGATGACTCAAGTAGTAAAACAGACTGGAAGGCTTTGCCTATTCTGAAGTGGTCCAGACATGCCCTGGTTGGCCATGCTTATCCCAATTGTGAGTAAAATAAGATAAGATTGAAGATTTAATCTTCAATTGATTAATCAATGGCAACACATACATTGTACATGTATTGGCTTTGGTTAGGTTTGTGTATTACACAAAGGCTTTACCAAATCCAAGCTGATTCATCTGAAAATAATAATGATATCTGTTTGCTTCTTACTTCCCAAGGATAACTTAGGGATTACACTACCTTTGCTTTTCCTACAGCTGTAAACAGGGTTCATCAGAAGTCATCACACATTCTACACAACACATCAGTAAGTGTCAAACCTTACTACGAATGCCTTGTTGAAGTGGTGGATGACGATGCTCCAGGAGCATTCAACATGCCTCAACCCATCAACATAAAGATCAAGCCTGAGTTGATTTCATTTGCCTTTGCCATGCCAAGGTGTGTTGAGCAGCTTACAAGGATGTTAGCAGAAGTTCATGCTGAAGTGGATATGACGGTCACACACGTAGTAACAATCTCACCGACACTGACTCCCGAGATGAAAGGTATTCGGAAGTTAGCAAAGTACTGGGAAGACAAGAGTCGCAGTTGTGTGGAAAAGTTTTTCACACAGTTTCAGGCAATGGGAATCCATGTGACAAGCAACATCTGGCAACGTGCCAAGGACAGATTTGAAAAAGTGTCTGAAAAGGTGAGTAACGTTGCATCAGAGGAGAATGATCTTTGGGTCCAATGTGCTGATGAAGAAGGAGGGGGAGTGGTTACTCTGATTGGGACAGCAGAAGCCGTATCCAGGGCAAAGCTCGTCTGCAAGACTGTCATTGAAGAGACAGAGGAGCTACTGAAGTGGGAAGCCACCATTGTGACTGATAACATCACCAACATGAAAGCAGCCAAGCTGAAGGTTCTGGAACTCAACAAGTTTCAAGGAAAGCATCGAGATGTGGAGATCAAGTTTGACGTAGACAACCAGAGTGTGGGCTTCAAGGGTCAGCGAGCTTTGGTACAAAATGCCAAGATTGACTTATTTGAAACAACCAACAACTTAGCTGAAGAAAGGGTCTCCCTGTCACGAGGAAAACTGTGCTACTTGAAGTCAGACAAAGGAAGGAAGCATCTAGAAGACAGTTTAAAGAAGAATGACATCAAAGCGGCCTTTGATATGGAGGATGAAGAAATGACTCTTTTAGCTCATCAGGATTCAGAGGTAAATGTGGCAAAATACTTGCTGCAGCAAGTTGTTTCAGAATCTTCTGTGGCTGTTGCAGAGGAAAGTCGTGATCTGCTGACTAAGCCAGATTTTGCTTCACACTTGACAGACGTTCGACAAAGGCTGTCAGTTGACATCCATGTTGCAAAGGGCAAGGTGTGGGTGGTTGGACCTCCGGAGAAGGTTGCCACTGCATCTAATGACATTGAAAGTTACATCGCCCAAAACACTATCATTACTGTCAGTATGGAGGTTGCTGAGGGAACAGCAACATTCCTGGATTGTTACCGCAAAGCAGCTGTCACAAATGTTGAGAGAAATCATGCAGGACAACAGGTACAGATCACAATAGACCAGGGGAAGCTGTCTGTGAGGGGGAACAAGGATGGCATACAGAGTGCTATGAAGCAACTGCAGTTTCTCATAGACGATGTTGCAACAGACACCATGACCATCACAAAGCCAGGTCAGCTCTCTCTCTTTTCTCTTATGTTTGAAATTTTGCTTCATCGAAATGTATTTTTTGTCTGTTTTTTCTCTATTTCATGGTTTCTTGAAGCTTGTGAAAGTGTGCTATTGCTATTGCTAATTTCCAAGAATACATGTGCAAATGTAACATGCAGCAGACAACACTTGAATGAGATGAGTGTTGTATTACATGTACCCATGCTCTTATTCAGGAATGCACAAGTTCTTCACAGAAGGAACGGGGAACTTACTCCTGAAGGTAATACAGATGGAAGTGAAATGTGTGATTGTGGTGGGGGAAAGCCAGGTGCACCTACCAGAGCTGCAGGAGGGACCAGAGAAGGTGCCACACCTGGGGTTCCAGATGAGGTGAGATGGACCCCCCCTCGCCCACACCAGTTTACTATTAGGCTTTTCCCACTAAGAATAAAATTGTCTGGATCGAACCGAATAGACTTACTTTGATCCTTGAGATCAAAGCTGGATCAAAGAATATCTATTTGGCTCAATCTGGACAATTTTATCCTAGTGGGAAAAGGGCCTTAGTCTCTTAGTCACATGCCATTGTATTGTAGCATCTGTCACAGCATTCTTCAACAACAACCCTGACTGTACTCTGTCAGTTGTTTGCTTCACAAAAATATATCTGAAAAAGACTGATGCCTTCAGTACATATAAGACAAAACTCATTTAAGTCATTCAAGAGAGGGGTTCCTCAACAAGAGCAATGTCACCCTGGTATGATGATGGTAGTCTGCTCCATTCTAAGGTGTAGTAAGAATACTAAGAGTTTTGGGTCAATGTCACAAATGTGCATGCAATCAATCAAGACCTCTGTCCCCTCTCAGGCCCAGCAACACTTTAACCACTCCAGAGGGAATCACTATTCAGCTGAAGAAAGGGGACATCACTGCTGAGGAGGTGAAGCCAAAAATTTCATAACAAAAAAATTATGTTTCAATTCAAGTAAATGCTACACGTACAAAAAATATGGTGATCTGGCCCTTAGGCCACACCAATTTAATTTGTTGGTTCTCGGATTCGCCTCTTCGTTTTTTCTGATTTGCAAAAAAAAAAAAATTTGATTCTGGTCCTGAATCAACTGAAAAATGCTCATGTTTTGCCCCCCAACAGTTGAGGAAAGTCCTTTTCTTCCTAGTTGTTACAGTTTTCCCATTCATCATTGCAGTGGTGTGATTAAAAGTTCAAAATTCAATGTTTAAATTTTTACCCAGCCTTTTGTGTTGACTTCATGGCTCATTTCATATTTAAGCCTATAATAGGATGCCTAGACCTGTTTTGATTTTATTTTTTTTCGCCCTGTCGCTTCATATTTTTTCTGAAAAAATCTGAGAACCAACAAATTAAATTGGTGTGGCCTTATTCTTCATTATGCTCTTGCAAGAAGAGGTAGGTTGGCTTCATGAACCAGTGAAATTACAAAAAAAAACATTGCTTGACCATTCTTCTCCAGGCTGATGTCCTTGTGAACACAACAGATGGTGATCTTGACCTTTTCCAGAGCGGTGTTTCAAAAGCCTTTGGACAGGCTGGAGGACAAAAACTACAACAGGTGGGCTGGAAGGTGTTTTGATCTTTAGCACACTGAAGTAGATTTTTGGCTGCCAATTCTCAATTTAAATGTGTTTGTAACAATGCATATCAGCTACTAACACTTGTAGTGATAGCGTTCAGCACCAAGGACAGGGCCAGTGTTTAGCCACAGTTACTGCACCAAGTTCATACATGTATCATTTATTACTCATACTTGCAGACTTTTAGTTTTATTTTGTTACATGTGTTTGTAATGATAAATATCAGCTACTAACACTTGTTGTGATGGCGTTTAGCACCAAGGACAGGCCCAATTCTCAATAAAGACTAACAACTTTTTTTCCTGGTTTCAAAACATGTCTTATCACTTGTATAGGAAATCATACCATCATATTCGTTCTAGCTCTGAGTGAAAACCACAATAACGTCTCGACGTTACGATCAAAATGCTATCATTTTCTGCAAACATGTACATGCAATTTTTGTTGCAAAAAGACAAGAAAATGTAAAGAATGACAACTTCCAAGTACTAGTATAGCTTTTTTGTTTTCCAATTTTACGTTCAGCTAGCTATGTAATGTGATTTGAACTTAATGTTGATTTCTTATTTTTGAATTGTGATTTTAGTACTATATTACCCTAGAAATAGCTTTGACTGTGCATTTCTAATTAATAGGTTACTTCCAGTTATCTTTTAAGACTATCAAATAGAGAAATAGTTATATTCAAAACTGTGACTTTCTTAAAGGTGTTTGTAACGATAAATATCAGCTAATAACACTTGTTGTGACAGTGTTCAGAACCAAGGACAGGGCCACACAGTTACCACACCATTCAAATTCTTATTTATACTTGCATATTTGCAATCTTATTTAGTAACAAGCCACTCTCTCTCAAATTGTATGATACAAAAATAACTTAATTGAGTACAGTCAAACCTGTACTAGCGGTCACCTTTGTATAGTGGTCACTCGGCCATAGCGGTCAGTTTTTGCCGGTCCCTTGAATTTTTCCCATTGACGTAAGCATTAAGAATCGTGTCTATAGCGGTCACTGTTCAACGCGGTCAGCGGTCACCCCATTCCGGTCCCGCCGGCATGTCAACACCGCCGATAGCGGTCGCGGCTGGCCGTAACCCGCTAAGCACCACGGCCGTAACACCACCCCACCTCGGGCTACGACCGTTATGAGCCTTGTGATAATTTTCCGATCGCTACATTTATACTAAAATGTGAACTGAAAATTAAACTCCATATGTGTATGAAATAAAGGAAAACTGGCTTTTGACACGAAGTTTCTGCGGTCGCGGGTGTCTTTGATATCTGCGTTTTCCCCAACACCAGTGCCGTGCGTGCCGCATGGAGCTTTCAATGGACTCGGCCGCTCGGCGAAGATTACGGCAATTATCTTTACAAAAAAACTTAAGAATATCCATATTTGGTTCTCGATTCCTTGAAATGCGTAGATATGTGCATAGCTTCCGTTTTTCATGAGCATAATTCAAGAAATTTGGCTCGAAAATGCGTTTCGTATTTTTCCAAGATGGCGCATGTTATCTGCAGAGGGAGGTCAATTGGGGTCATCGGAAGACTA